TACAGATTTCAATAAGCTCAAAAGTAACACTGTAGTATGTACTATACAAAGAATACTGTAAAATCGAGAAAACCTATTCTTTGTCAATCACATTTATACTTCACCATCAGCTACAGAGTCACAAAATTATTGTGAGAGAAGCTTCAAAAAAATGCTAGAATTTTTTCCTATAATATCTTGGTTGAAAGGGCTTCTCTGAAGTTTGATAGGAAGATGAGCTTTTGGTACACATCAATATACGCCGCTCGAAAAACCACGAAGAAATTCTGGAAAACGGAAGCTACCCTCTAAAACTGAGTTGTCAGGTAGACATGTGCGCTCTCCAGCACCTTCATGACTACGAGCAAATGCGCGAAACTCACGCTAATGTGCAAATGATTTGAGCATGATGCGCGCTTACGTACGCATGCCTTGTGCGGGAGTTTTTTGACGCGAACTTTTAAAATCTGATAAGCACTGTTTTGCCTTGAATACTCACGACACAAACAGGTGTGAAGCACTCATTACTTGGAAATCTAAACATAAGAAGATTGGTTCTCTGAACACTTATCACATACCTTTTGTTCTGAAAGTATCATGGTTTTAGAAACTGTTTTACATTTAATTTAACAAAATTTTCTGCTCCTAAGTACTGTCTTGTATACGTATATATGAATGCACAAAAGTGTTAATAGGAGTTAGACCGCACACTTTACGTAAAGCCATGATGTGTTAAACCCAAAAAGTGTTCAAAAATAAAATTTTTGGCAACTGGGATATTTCTTGGTTTACGATTCTTTGCTTTACATATTAAAAAATGCTCAGTTGTTTAAAAATCTTTTCAAAAAAAGATCCTTTCACACATGCTCATCTGACAAAAAAAAGCGAATTTACTAAGGTTATTTGACTCGCCTCGGGTAGACAATAGGAGGACCAAGATTGCAGATATGGCTGAAAAGTAGTTGAGAGAGATTAGATGAAGTCCTCATTAAGAAATCTTAACTGCATTCAATAAACCATCAGTTCACTGTATATAGACAATGGAAGAATTAATATCGCCGATCCGCCCGGAAATTTTTTTTCGAATCAGTGCCGCCAAGCAAAATGAAGCTAACGTCGGAAATGATTATATTACTTACATTTGAATACATTCTAAGATCGGCATGTAATTAACTCTACTAGACCACTTTCTAAAAACCTTTGCGATACTTTATTGCCTACACAGTATATACTGTGTAGGCAATAAATGTCGTAAGAAATGCTTATAATCTTTACATTTCAAATTATTCCAGTTCCTTTGCATATAAATACTATGGAGATAAGGATGTGAAAGGATTAGCTATGAAGGTAGAAAGGGGGTGACAACAAAA